CAATTAAGACTGCTGGCCTCAGAGAAAGTGGGTGATACCACACACTGTGGACCTAACGGAAACGCATCTTGCCTTGACTACGTTCTGACGAACGATGACCTCGTTGAGGATGTATGCATCCAACCTCCACTTGGCCTCAGTGACCACCCAGTAATAACCTTCTCCATGATTACTAGGGAGGCCCTGCAACTGGAGACGCCCAACACCTTCCCTTGCTACAGCAAGACCAACTACGAGACCACGAAGGACTATCTCATGAATGCATCATGGCCGGTAGACTGGACCCATCTCACAATAGATGAGCACTGGTTACAGGTGAAGAAAATAATAGCCGGGGCCATGAGTTACAGTGTACCAGAAGTAACACGGACTGTCAGTGAGAACCTCATGGCTAAAGCCTGGGACAGAGGCTTATCCAAAGCAAGAACCAGGCTTGGTTCAAGTGGCGTTCATCACGCATGGAATCTGACTTTCTGAACTACAAAAGGATTTGTAACCGCTGTAACAGAGTGCGCAGCGACAGATTCTCCTGTCAAACAAACCTGGTGGAGAGATTACAAAGCAATCCCAAAAAGGAAGTCGACTAACAGGGGAGTGAATCTTATCACAGGTCATCATGGGAGTGTACTAAGCAGTCTACAGATTGCCGAGCTTTTGAGCTCACACTTCCAATCCCAACTTAGTACCGACACTAAATCCACACCGACTCGTTACGACACCGACCGGGTCATAAATAACAAATACCTCTACCACATCTCAATCATAGAGAAAAAAATGTTGGGGAAACTATCTAGGCTACGTCCAGGCAAGTCCCTGGCTGCGATAACCTAAAATCAGTGATCCTAAAAAACTGCGCCGAGGTCCTTACGAAGCCACTCTGCAACCTCCTTGAGTACTCAATAGAGTCGTGCAAACTCCCTAAAGAATGGAAGAGCGCCATCTTATCACCCGTCTTCAAGGGAGGAGACAGAAAAAGCCCTGGCAGCTACAGGCCGATTGCCCTACTCCCTATTGTATCAAAAGTGTTGGAAAGCCTGGTAGCAGACACTCTGGGAATTCCTCAATACGGAAAACACTGTGCATATTACTGAGCATGGTTTTCGAAGTGGTCGCTCATGTGCCACCAACTTCCAAACTGTCTGAGATGACTGGATGTAGGGGTGCGTGTTACAATTCCGTAACGTTTGATCAACCCTACTTAACTTGATGGGCTCTAGTACCTGCGTAACCAGTACTTTACCTAACGTGTAAGTACTGATAACAAAACACAAATCAAAAGAACTGATACGCAATGTATTTGAAGGAGCTTTGTATTTAATTAAAGTAAATGTAATAATAATGAATGGGGGAAAAGTTTATTCAACTTACCTGGTTCGTAAGGCTGAACTAGGGACTCGGAGTACGTGTATGGTAATCAGCACAGTGGAGCGCAAAATGGCGTCCAAGCCTGCTCGGATGCATGCTCGTTAAAACAAAGCTTAAAACACCCTAAGCATCCGGAGGCAAGCTAGAGATTTATTTAGTTAATTTAATTTAAACTATTTATTTTAGCCCTAGTTATATTTTGGTGCCAGGAAGGTGCACTACAGGTTATCCCCCCTCCTATAAGGTTGTTGGGATACCGACAACCTTCGATCCTAGTAGGTGACTGCGAGGCGGACACGCAACACCTTTCCATATTGGTGATGGAGTAGGTGACGTGTGGGTCTCCGAAGCTAGTGCAACTGTGCTCACCTACGAGGTAAGAGAACTTTGCGTCTAGACGCAGCCCTTCTCGCAGTGGTGGAAGGTGGCCCAAAGCCTCCGTCTACTTTTCTCTATTGCTTCTTAATCTACCGAGGAGTGTACAGGGGGAAATTGGTACAAAGAGAACCGAAGAACGATCCAAGTAGCATCATCAGCGGCCAATTATATCCAATTTTCAACGCATTTTCTAGGTTCTGCAAGAAGAAAGAAATAGGACATTAGAGTGCTAAGAAAAGAAAAACCAAACAATTCGAAGTGGGGGGAGTACAGAAAAAGAGTAATAATAACCAACCAAAAAAGTTTTTGAAACCTAAATTGTATTTATGGTTTTTTTTGTTTTTTTTGAAAAAAAAACTTTGTTTTCAAAGTAGTGAACAAAACTTTAGATATGAAAACGCATTGATAGTGCATGCCACGATAAAATAGTTGAAACTGCGACTTTACCGAATGTGAAGTTGCATTGGGGCTACTTAACGAAATCGGCGTATCGTTTGGGCCAATGTACACGCCTCCCAGCACGTGCAGACGGTACTGGATCAGTGCTACTTTGGGTGGCTCTTTTAGAAGATTCAGGGTACGCGCGACTAGACGAGTCTGTTTGGGAGTCTGGCGGCAAGGGTGTTTCTAGTTGTGTCGGTGTAGAGGAAGGTGGGTCGTCGCCTATATAAGCTGCGTTCAAACGATCGACACTAATAGAATCCTGCCGTCCAGATCTGTCAGTGATGAAAAACTTTTCTTTCTTACTGAGAACCTTGAAAGGTCCGTCGTATGGTGGCTGTAGGGGTTTACGTACACCGTCACAAAGTACAAAGGCGTGGGTACAAACGCGAGACTGTGCGTCTGCAACAGGGTTATTAACACTAGAAATGTGACGGATGTCCGACGTGAATTGCGAAATATAGTCTAGGTGACGTAATTCACGCGGTGAATATCTGTCAGTAGTGGTGTGTAAGGCATACGTCAGAGGTTTATGGTCGGTAAAGATGAGAAATCACGACCTTCCACAAAATGACGAAAATGTTTCACTGAGGCATATATGGCGAGCAGTTCCCTGCCAAAAGTGCTGTACCGCATTTCGCAGGTGGATAACTTCCGGGAGAAGAATGCAACTGGGATCCAAGTGTGATCCGAAAGTTGTTGCAACACAGCTCCAATGGCCGTGTTAGAGGCGTCAACCGCAATGCTAAGAGGTAGGTTTACGTCTTGATGCACCAGCATCGTGGCGTCTGCTATTGCGGTTTTGATCTTGCGAAATGCTTCTAGTGCCTCAGGAGTCAAGCTGAAAGTTTTACATTTACTTTTCAGCAGGTCGGTCAGTGCAGTCAAAATGTGCGCACATTGGGGAACGAAGCGACGATAATAGCTCACCATACCCAGAAACACACGCAGAGCTTTAAGTGACGCTGGGACTGGGAAGTCTTGGATCGCCTGTACCTTTTCAGGTAGTGGGCGAATGCCTTGCTCGTCGATAACGTGTCCCAAAAATTTTAGTGAACGAACGCCAATCTGGCATTTGGCCAGGTTGACTGTCATCGAATGCTCTGACAGTCTGGCGAAAACCTGTTTCAAGTGGTTAAAATGAGTGTCTTCGTCAGGACTAGCGATTAGTATATCGTCTAGGTAGGCATAGGCGAAATCGAGTCCACGTAAAACATCGTGAATAAAACGTTGGAAGGTTTGTGCTGCATTGCGAAGACCAAAAGGCATACGGAGGAACTCAAAAAGACCAAACGGTGTAATGACGGCTGTCTTGGGAACATCATCAGGATGAACCGGGATCTGATGATATGCACGCGTCAAGTCAAGCTTACTTTTAAAGATGCAGTCAAGTCGTGAATGTGAGGGACTGGGTAACGATCTGGAATCGTTTTAGCGTTGAGCCTTCGGTAGTCACCACAAGGCCTCCAGTCCATGCCATTGTTCTTGGGTACCACATGCAAGGGTGAAGACCATGGACTGTTGGATGGTCTGATTATTCCCATTTCAAGCATGTGTTCGAACTCGGCTTTTACAGCACGCAGTTTCTCCGGGGATAATCGCCGTGGTTTCGCAAACACTGGCGGGCCAGTCGTCGTTATGTGATGAGAAACGTTCGAAGTCACACAAGGGACACAACGACTTGGCTTAAAGACATCCGGAAAGGACTGAATGATAGACGCGTAGGGACTAGAAGCGTCCGTCGTGCAGTACACGGGACTGAGGGGCGGCGTCTTTGTGACTATACCGGAAACAGAGAGTGTTGTGGTAGAATCTATCAACTTATGCTTGCCAGCATCTACCAGCAGCTGATAGTGCTGCAAGAGATCCATACCAATAATGCCGGTGGTCACATCTGCCACTATGAAAACCCAACGAAAGGGACGACGCAATCCAAGGTTGAGATCGAGGAATCTCCGACCATAGGTTGTGATGGGCGAACCGTTGGCGGCACGAAGTTGCAGAGACATTGGCCGCAGACGCTCTTCCTTCGTAGGTGGGATGACGCTAGCTTCTGCCCCAGTGTCAACTAGGAAGCGTATCCCAGAATGTCGATCAGTGACGAAGAAGAGGCGACATGGAAGTGGCTCGCCAGCGACGTTAGTCGCCGTCACGTGCTGGCTCACACGTTTCCCGCCTGGTTAGCCTCGAAGGTGCAAGGTCGAGTGCACCTTTTGGCATTGGCACCATAACGTTTATGGTACCAGCACAACCTGGGTTGGGATTGTCGCGATTTGGAACGTCTGCTACCGGTACGGGAGGCAGACCTGTTGCGCGAGCGAGACGTGCGACCGTTGGAAGAACTACCAGACCGCATTTCGTTCCTGATGCTGCACAACTCTCATACAATTTCGAGATGTGAGCTATAACATCGAAACTTGTTGGCTCACCAGCCGAGAGAGGATGTGGGTTTTTGGACGAATCCGTGGCAGTAGACAGTGCAGCTGAGATACTAGTGTTGGGTTTCGTAGCATCCACAGCTCTGTCAGCCGCTTCCGCCAGCTCTATTAAGGGACACTTATGGAAGGGTGCGAGGATCCCTTGAACCGACTGTGGTAACCTCTGTAACCACAGTTGCTTGAGAAATGCTTCATCAATGTTGAAGTCAGCAATCAGCTGCTTCATCTGACGAAGCAGTTGCGTCGGCTTGCGATCACCCAGATGCACATCCCTGAAAAGTTCTTGCACTTTCTGCTGGTCAGTAAGTGCAACACGTTTGATGAGGGCGGTTTTGAGGCGATCGTAAAGATTCGGTGCTGGGTCATCTAGCACATCTGAGACGTCTTCGATCACATTTTCCGGTAAGCTGACGATGACTAAGTTGGACTTAGTTTCTTGTGATTGAATGTGTCTCAAGGCAAACTGAGCTTCCACATGGGAGAACCATGCAGATGGTCTGTGGGCCCAGAAGGTGGGAAGCTCGAGGGTCACGGCCATCTGCGCGGTCTAGTCGTTATCAACGATAACGATAAGCCTAAATGACGTTTGTGCACCCATTTTATCCTTCGTTTCAATACTATGTTCGGCTATTGAGGAGCTCATATGTTTGTTGACAACATCATTTGAATCAGATAACTCTACTTGTTTCTGAAGCCACTTTGAAATTTGTTTTATGGCTCTTATTTTCAATGACCGATAAGTCCTCTGTATGTATGTGTGACTACAGAACATATTCTAATGTGGCTTTTGGAACAGGTAGAGTCGCCCGACTCAATTGATGCGTGTCACCCACTTTATTGCTATTCATAAAATGTCTTTTCTTTACGAATGATATAGATCCATCTAAATGTCAAAAGGCTAATAGTCTTTTTATAAGTATGAAATAAACGAGTTGATAATGATAGTTTATTTCGACTTTTTATGAAATCAGACAAACCTTTACTGGGTTTCCTACATTAATTTAGTAGTGATGAACCAACCTAACAGTTTCATCGGTTGTGGATTCTTTCTTATATACAGCGGTCAGTGTCTCAGCAACTGATCATACCTAATAGGTCGGTAAAAATTATTCCACTTTCTGAACTTCCCACGTTAGACATTAAACTACCTCTTAAATCCTATTTATTTCTGCATAGTTTGTACTTAAAATGTTTGTTACTGTTGTCACTTGTCATTACAGTGTGATTGTTGATTTCCACACAACCACAATGACTGAGCTCAATATAGGAGTTCATTGTTCTCAAGAGGACTGCAAACAGTTGGGTAAGTCTTCCTTATTTTGCTCTAACCAAAGTAAGGTGATTCTTGTGTTGACTGTCCATTTGTGATAGCGATATAAACGTGAACGTAAAAATGTATGATTCCGTTCCTTTTGTTTTTGAAAAGGAAATTTTGAAGCTACCTGCAGACGTTTGTTTTAAGGAGTATAAGTGTGACTATCCATAATCTAATAGTTTTCTGTATAGCGTTCTGATGTTCTAATTGGAGTTCATTTCGTTGGCGTCCTAGTGGGAAAATTGGCAGGCGATCAAAAGTGTACCGATGAGTACTAAGTGGAACTAATTGAATATCCTGGTTCACTCTGTTAAGCTCTTTCAGAAACAATTCATGTTATTTTCCCAACTAATTCTCGGGACAAAGGAGCTTTTACGTGGAGCTTTGGTGCGAATACTGCACGCTTTTATAGCCCATATTCAACACAAATTTCAGCCTTTAACTTCTACAAGGGCGTTAAGTGAGTGACCTTAAGCAGATGTCCCATGGTCTCTGCAGTTATACACCACCGTTGCTAATACACTTTTTCCGAATATTTTAAGAAAAAGTAACACTCCACGATGTGGGTCACAGGGAAATGTCAACCTCTCACAATTCTGTTAGTACTCAGGTTCCCCTAGATTATTATCAACCTTCCAATCTTCCGTCATCTCTTGGTTAATATTCTTACATCGTTCTTAATTTGTTTCCAGTTCTGCAGCGCTTGATGAATACCTGAGTTCGTGTAACATCCCTGGTCTCTTGAAACTGCGCTCCAAACTACTTATTGGGCTCTCAATAAACTGCATTCTGTCCATTCTAACAACGGGCTTCACTAGTCAAATCTAGCATTTAGGGTCGTGCAAGTGTACTGTTTGTGAGACGCATTTTGAGTGATCACGTGGTGCTGCCAGCACGCTTGTGTCTGCCTCTAAATGAATTTCTGGAAAAAAAAAGCTCAAACCGTTTGGAATGCAGCACAACATTGAGCATGCCAAGGCTGTTTTCAGCGAGATAATGGCTAGACAGTAGTCGGAACGAGATACAGTAGTTCATTTCAAGGACACCTGGCCCTATCTCCAGTTTGCTGTGAAAACAACGCTAACCACTGTAAGTGACCCTCAAAAGATGTTTCGTGAAAACCAGCGGATCTGACTTCTGAAATAATTGATACACGCAAATGCATTACTGCGGGCTCCGAACATAAACTGTGGCTAAAACAACTCAAATGTATGCAGATGAAGAGTATGCAACGACCTTGGGGGTTGGTGGGGAGTAAAGCCAAATAGATGGACAAAGCAGCAGTAATAACTAATGGTGGACTTATTTTCACGTGATAATGAAATTGGGTGGAAAACTGAATGGTTAGCATATAGTGAAGGGATGGGTATATGATTCAGTCACAGAATTGGTGACTGGAATAAGTTGTCATGAAGATTTTTATTCAGCCCCCAAAATAAAGTCTAATGACCTTGTTTCTTGTAGAGTTTTGGGCAAAATAAATAATTCAGTTGATGAGATTATAAACCTTCATCGACTCAGGTGGTTGGGAAATTCGTTACGCATGCCTTGTCACTCTCTTTCGCGACACAACTTTGGCTGAAGTAGGTTTACTTGAACTGTATGGATCGGCAAATGTGTAACTAATGTTCAGCTTAACAACAGTTCTAATTGTCTCAGATTTTACTATTATTCTATCAGATGCGTACTGTTTACAGTGGACTACGATTTCATCGACTGGTTTGCAAGAAGTAAGTGACTATAACTTGCTTTCATTTAAAGCAACTCATTTTTTCTTTATAGTGCCTCAGATATTTTTGAAAATCAAGAAAAAAACTAGCTGAACTGTTTCAAATATCCTTTATTGTTGTCCTAATTCCTTTTCAGATTTCCTACCTATTCATTGCCAACTTTGTGATCGCATATTTTGGTAAGTTCCAACTGTTTAAATTATAAGATTATAAATATCTAAACCATAGTGGTTAAAAATGCCCTGCAAGAAGTTGAGCGCCAAGTCGCTTTTAATCATCATAACACTATCTGTTAATATAGTCCCAGCGTCTTTAAAACATCGAAACAAGATATTCCTGAACGTTTCACCGTGGAAGACACAGCTATTTCAGCAGAATATACGCACTCTTATTAACATCAAAACATGTATTAAAAAGTACATCAAATATTTAGTGTGTATGGGTCATTGACTAAGTGGTTTGTTGCTCATATTGAGTAATTATGACTAGTCTTTACAAGTTTATATTTCTTATTGTCATTTGTCGACGAAAAATGCAGGGCAGTTTAAGTGTATATTTGTGTGTGTATGTGTATTTGTTTGTATGTTGTAGAATACATATTGTTTCCTGTAGCTTCTTAAGAATCTATTGATGAACAATCAGTAATTGTCATTGTTATTAAATCTCCAATTAGAAAGGGTCATCACGGAAGATTTTGTCGGATTAATGTTTGCCAAATAGGTGGTAAATCTATCACTATGTCTCTTCTGTTTATAGCATTTAATGTTGTTAAAATTTGTAGGGCTTTCGTGGTTAGTCTTTTATGTGAATGGAAACCTCTCCAAGTTAACCACATGTTCACTTTCAATTGCATGCATAGCTATTACTGATCACTTTTCTGAATTTTGTAATTCATCTTGATTCTCCCGTGGATTTTCCGCTACATAACTTGTGTTCATGCACCGTAAGTTTTTATGGGTTTATAACTTTCTCCAACATAAGTAATTAGCCTCACATTTCAGACATTTAATTTTGCAGAGACAGTTGTTCTTTTATCTTAGGAAATTCATCTTTCAATTTGACTATGGCATTTCCGAATGGGTTTGAAGGTTTAAAACAAAGTTTAATACCATACGAAGCGCATACTCTTTTAGTTCGTTCAGAAGTACCTTTTCGATATGGTATCATCATAACTAACACTCATGATTTTATTGTGCCTTTACTATTACTACTACTTGCTTTTCCATTCATCTGATGGATAATATTGTCGTAAAAGGTTTTTGGGTATCCATTTTCCATTGAGACATTTTTTACTCAGGAGATTTCATTTTCCGAATCATTAGGATCGTTTGTAATGTTTTCCGTTCTGTTTAGTCGATTTAATACTACAGTAGGTTTTATATCAATAGGATAATCCGGTTGGATGTCTAAATATTTATCGAAATGTGTTGGTTTTCTTCATATTTTTACACCAAATCTACCTTCAGCAGTTCTTTGGACAAGTCAATCTAAAAAGTTTAGAGTGCTGTCCTTAGATTCTGTTTCACTAGTGAATTTAATAGAATCTGAAATAGAAATTATATGTTCTAAAAGTGTCTGTTGGTTTACTTTCTTAAGAATGACAAACGTATCGTCCACATATCTATACCAAATTCTGGGTTGGAATTGGGCACTTCTTAAGGCTCTCTCCTCCAAAGCTTTCATATAGAGATTCACCATAACTGGAGATACTGGCGAATCCATTGTAACTCCACTTGACTGACGGTACATTCCGTCTCTAAACCTGTGGATTCTAAGCACACATTTAACGATTTTATAATGTCTTCTGTTGAAGGCGGACATTCAGATAATACATCTTGATTAGTATTAATAGCAATCCTTACAATATCTAGACATTCACATAATTGGTATACTAGTGAATTAAGAAACTGCATCAAAACATGCCATAATTTTATTTTCTCTAATATTCAACAGTTTACGTTTAAAATCCTATGCGTTCCTAATATTCTAGATGTTATATTGAAATAGTTTCAGAATTCCTGATAAATATCTAAATAGACGATAAGTTATCGACCTTGTAAAATCAATTATTGGTCCCAGTGAAATCCTCATTTTGTGGATTTTCGGTCCACCGTAGAACCGAGTGACTGCGTTCATCTTTGGGGCTAATGAAAACCATGTTACATTTCCAAATTTGAGTTTCATTTCTCCAATTAATTTTTCGAAAGATTTAAACCACTACGATTTCAATGCTGTTGGAGATTCGACTTCATTGACATCTTCAAGATGACAACTCAATAGAGCCGTCTAAGATGTGCCGCTTGGAACGGAGAGTCTCAAGTTCCTTTTTCGTATTTTCTCCTTTCAGATGAGTGAAGTAGTATTGAAGTGAGGTGAGAAGGGAAGAAACACCGATGATACTGTTAACTTCGGTAAATACCGTGCTGTATCAGAAAAATTCCTTGCAGCCTACAAACATGAAAAGCAAATAATCTCTTTTGTGAAGACTAGTGTAACTCCAACAAACATCCAGAGCCTCTCACTTGTTTTTCTGTCATCACCGGAGGATCCTAAAATATTCCTTTAAGAGATTTGTGTGTTCCGAGTTCTACGGTTATTCCGAAGCAATCCCATACTATTCCGTGGGGTAGTAATATGGTAAACAGTAAGACCACCATGTATGAACTGTCTATCTTGTGGCCTTCACTCTTATTCTTGCTCAATTTTGCATCCTTATTTATTATAATTTATATTCAGACAACTTGACTTCCAATCGTCGTGTACAAGTGCTAGTTTGTGGTCAAAATGGTAAGATAGGATAAACCTACCACTCTTTTTCATCATAACTACATTTCGGGGTTGTCATAAACTAAATAAAATCAGTTAATTGATTACAATGTTTCGAATAAGCCCCAACCACTCGACCACGCCACATCATATCGTAATGCACACAAGTACATCGGTTCAAGTTGTCACACTTCATAGTAGTATACAAAGAACAGGTGGATAGAATAAGAGTAATATCAAAGTAGACAAAGGTGTATGGGAAGATAAACAGTTTAATACCGAAGGTTATTGAGAATATTCAAGCTTTCGAAGGCGTTTAAGAGTGAATACATGTGCGCCATTGTGACTAATTTTCAATCTTACTACCAGGAGTCCTCTACCACTGATTCTTATCGTTCCAGGGACCCCAATCAAGCAGTCTACACCTCCCTATACGGTCCAAACTAACGGCCAGAAACTTCATGCACCTATGCTACGTCTTGGCCACCCTGAGCTCTCTTCCAACCTAATCCAACTTTTCATGGCACTCCATGTCGAAGTAGATTGGTTCTTCGTGTACAACACACGTCCAAGTTGAAGGTTTATAACCTCATTGATCACCTTGCCTGTCTTGCCTAGTGCCCTTCACCTGACCTCGACACTACTAACAAAGTGATTCCATTATACTTACGGTGAAAAGCCTGTAACCGCTTTATATCTCTTACTTTCAGTGACCATCTCTAACAGCCGTATGACGGGACATAGCAAACTGCAAAGCTGTATACTCGTCCTTTGATAGTTACTCGGATATCTCACCGATCCAATCACCTATCATGCAAAAACAATCACTTCGTGATAACACTATCATTACACCAGTCATTCATCTGAGGACCATTCTCAACTTTCATTGATGGTTAATCTCCTGAGCTCACTTCAACTTCATCTACGAGAACCTTCTTGCCAACTGTATCATTTGCAGTGATAATAACATTCCTGATACCTGAAAAAATCAAGTGGGTTGCTTTACTCGCTTAAAATATATCAGTTTCTTGAAATCGTAGAGAAAACTGGTAGATAATATTCCTAACGATTGAATTATCACTGTCTTTATTCAATCTAGGCTTCATTATGGCGTAAATTCGTATACTTATCAGTCCTGTATAGTATTTGTGTATTTCCATAGAGATTGATGCATACACGTGTCTATATAAACGAAATTATTGAAGGCAATGTTGAAAGTCTAATATATTGTGCTTATTGAAGAAAGTAGACAGTATTAACTGAGTTTGTAAAAGTTTTATGAAGATGATCTATCTTACGTTTTCGTTGTTTATGGTTGTCATCATCATTATCGGTTGCTAAAAACATCACAGCAAAACGCACAGTTCTCTTACTGCGCACAACTGTCCTATTTCAAACCCTGCCTATCGATATCACCCTATCAGGTTAGTTACATTTCATACTTTTGCTAAATTTAACTTTACATAATGTAGTCAAAGTCATTTTTCTGCTACTGTCATTACCACTACTACTGAAGATGATGCCGGTAGCGTCTGCGATTTCCACGAATGTAATCAACGACAGTTGGTGTTGTTAGCATGTGAAGCATGTAGCCGAAATTATTGTATAAGGTTAGTAGGAAATATTTTAAAATTTTATTGATAGATAAGAGCTTTTGTTGAAGGTCACTATTAAGGTTGTCGTTCAAAGTTTTCAATACTTGATCTTGCACATTTACAACATGCATTCAAGTTCATTTACTGCCCGGCCGATAGCTGTTACCTTGAAGTCATAGTTGGGTGTGCTTATTCATCATCAATATCAACATAAGACCAGGTATTACTGCGTAATGGTCTGAGTTGCTACAACTCATATCAGCACATCAAGTAACGAAGTAATAAGATGAAAGGTGAAGAAGAAAGAAAAAAATCGGTCTGAAGCAGTAGAAAGTAGTCAATGCTAATTTCAGCATAGCAGTAAAGATAAAGATAATATGTGGATACATCTACGCCATCGGTATCGATTCCGAGCCATATCATATAGAGTCTCCAACCAATGGTTTCTGTTGCTATACGAACCCCAACCGGCTAGTCTGCATCTCACAACATGGCTCAGGTCGAAGACTTCATGTAGTGATACCATGTTTTAGTGTTTTCCTACCTAGCCTTTTTCCAGCCTGAACCCACTTCGGCTGAGATTAGGCCAGAAGGTAAACGATGACCAGACATGCGAAACACATATCCAAACCAACTTAGTCGGTGAAAGTTCCCAATCTTAACAATTGACCTTTCTCTCCTTCCTAAAACTCTACATCTGACTTCTGGGTTACTGGCTTGTTGATACCATGACATACGGCCTGTGCTACGAATGTCACTGTAGTCGAACACCTGAAGCCTTCTTATGTTCTCTACCTTTAATGGTCATGTTTCACAGGTATGCAGTAGGGCGAGTGGACTGCAGGATAGTACATTCGATCCTTAATTGTCAATCGAATATCATGCGGCGCCGGAGATGGTGTAAGTTGGAGAAAGTCAGTCGAGCTTTTTCTATCCCTGAGGAGATTTTACTAACCACTCAGCCACCAGGACTAATCTGACTTCCTAGGCAAGTGAAGCGTTCAACGCACTCAACAGCGTCACTGTTTATTGTTATACAGGGCACCGCTGAAGACCAGTCATGTGACAACACTTTGCATTTGGTTGACGAGAAATGCATCCTAAACATTCTCAGATTGCCACTCAAGGTGTCGTGAAGACTACACATCTTGTTAGGGTCTTCACCTCACAGAACTACGTCGTCTACATACATACTCCTGATCCACTAAGGAGTCTCCTGTAATCAATTCAATCCCTGTGTAGTCAGATGAAGAGAGGGAGACCTCCATAAGAGCGTCTATAATAAAATTGTAAAGGAATAGAGAGAGTTGTCAGCCTTGATGGACACCACTCGACATGCACTGCTCACCCGATATCTCACCGTAGGCTCTAATATGCCCACAGGTGTTCAAGTAAAAAGCCTTTTATAATTCGATGTACTTACTTGGTACCATCCTCAGTGAGAGACACTGCCATAAGATTTCTCGATCGACAAAGTCGATTGGCACCTTCAGGTCGAGAAATACAGCTATTATCGGGCGTCAGTAGGCGTATCTGTGTTTCAAAACTTGGTGGAGTATGAATATTTAGTCGATACACTTACGGCCAGGTCTGAAGCCTGCCTAGTTTTCTCAGGCTTGCTGTTCCCAAGCTCCACTCAGGCGTCTAATGAATATAGAACCTAGGATCTTAGACACTATGTTCCTCAGCCTGATTCCTCTGTGGTTATCATGAGAGGTCTTCTTGCCTTTCTTGAAGACTGGGACAATCAATGATTGAGACCAGCCAAAGGGGAACATATTTGGCTCCCAAACACTAGCTGACTAAGCTAAAAACACCACCACCGTCCTCATATACCTCAGGAACTAGTCCATCTGGTCCAGCTGCCTTTCCTTGTTTCACAGCTACCTACCACTTTCTAGACCTCTGCAAGTGATGGGGGATCTATCTGAATGTTCTATTCAGGATGCGACTGGATAGTGGGCAACGCAGTAGTAGTCGGAGCTCAGTTGAACTGTTCTTCGAAGTTTTCTGCTCATCATTCCAGTCGTCTCCCATGTGAGTGGATCGCAGACCCATCCTTCTCAGTTACAGTCTCACTAGCTGTTGACCTTTTCGCCCCAGTTTCCTAAATAAGTCTAAATAATTGTCTACTGTTACCTATCGCCCCCGCCTTTTCCATCTCTTTAGCCTTCACTTCCCACTACAGTTCGCGGTTATTGAGTAGATTTTTTGTCAGTCTACATTTGAGTTGCGTTCACTTCTCATTGTACTCAGAGCCTGCAGGGATACGTTCGCGTACTGATATCCACTGACTTTTTTTAACCACTCTTTGAGAGTCGGCTGTTTTTACGGAAGACTGGAAATGGCACCAAGCTTCTTCTGAATGAGTGATAGTGTTCTGTTCCAATAATTGCCTAGTCAGTTTCTCACTGAAAGCGACCTTAATGTTCCTACTGTCGATGTGTACTCCTAATAATCTTATTCCTAAGGTTTTTCTACGTCCATTGAGACGCAGATATATACTCTCGAACCAACGCGTGCTCTAGAAGGAGCGACAGTCTTCCGCTGACTCTCCAGCGATGACTGATAACAATGTGGTCTATCTGTGTCCATCGCTGAGCTGAACTCGGTGGATGCCATATCAGACGATCTCTTTTCTTATGTCCGAAGTTTGTGCTGGCTAGAAATAAACGGTTATCTGAGCACAGTTGTAGTAGGTGATCACCGTTATCTGTTCGTTCAGTCAGGATTATGAAGATGCCACCTGAAAGTCTTTCTACCCGACCGAGCCTACCCACTTATCCATTGAAATCACCTGAAACAACAACTACATCTGAAGGAGAGTAGACAGTTTTCAGTAGAGCTCATCTGAACTGCGGTCAGTGGATGCGTGAGCAAAGACTACAAAGGGGCATCGGGGAGTTTCACTGTTCCTTTCAGTCCTTACTGTGCCGTTCAGCCGAACAGCTCATAGACAACTGTCATCTGAGATCCAGCCTAGTAGTGAGGTTTCTTCCCTAGTGCTTAACTACTATGCCTACATCTGAAAGACCACGAGAACTAGCCGTCGTATCTTCAGAAACTTGAAGAGCGAATTTTGCGGATTCATCATATTACCAGGGAGAGGTTAAGTGAATAACCTGCACTTATGTCTTGTATGCATGTCTCACAAACCCAGCACACATCCATGGCCCGAGCTGCTAGAGTTTTGGGCAGTGAAGCTTGTTGGTCGACTTGATGGAGGGTGCGGACATTGAAGGCTCCAATGTGTAATGTAAACCATGGTTTAAGGAGACCAAGGATGCTGTTCTGTGGACTTGAATCGTTATCAAAAGCTACACAGCTAGAAGAAATTAAAGTTGATGTAGATTAGAGGGTAAGGATGAGGGAGGTGGATAGTGATCTGATGGAACTTGAGGGCTGACAGAGTTGTGAAGGCGGTTGACACTTCCCGACTGCCCACACCGTGGAAGGCTAGGTCTTCTTGAGGTACCGGAAAAAAAGGGTTGGTGCGTAATCGCAGAGCCCAGGAAACATCTGCTTGAGGCCGGTCACGTGCGGCCTTTTGGATACCATGACAATTGGCTTGTATTATGTAGTCGGACATACGTCCTGTGGTTTGGGATCATCACTAACCGCTGGTGATCTAAGCAACCACAATGCATCATCTCTTTGTTTAGGAAATTACACCACGGAACTTGTAGCTCTCTGACTAAATTCCATGTGGGAATACCAATACACCGGATTACAAGTACATCCAGATAATTAGTTGTGAACCGAAGAGAATGTATAGCCTGTGTTGCTGATGTAAACCAGATATCTAAAAACTATCATGATGTGTAAACTAACTTTTGTGGAACTCTACGACATTAACGTTTACTTTCAGTCCTGTGTTACAACTTACTATGTAAATCTAAATTGATTAGTAAAACTATGCTTCTCGTATCACTTGACTTCTAACCATTGTCACACATACTCTTCATTAGATATTCACTACTCCCCATATCTCAGATTTACTATCCAATTCATAATCTATCTGATAATGATTTCCAGAATATTTATTTTTAGTTATTTATCTATTCTTTTTTTCCAATTATTTTATTTTATAGTCACAAACAAAAAGAAGTTCATCGATGCTCATTTCTGAAATCAAATCAAACAGATAAAATTCAAATAATCAAGACTATTGATTATTCTTCTTTAAATGGTAGATTTATAATTCACTTTTTTCACTGTGATTGAGTGTGAATGAAATTTTTTATAGTAGCATTATAAGAACACATTGTATTGTTTATTTAAGAAATATGACATATTTTTAGCCGTGCATTTTAAACAAATTGGTTAAACATTTACTTGTCAAGATATATTCTATGATGAATGAAAGTAGAAAGAGATCAAATCAAACAAGCATGACAATATCGAATATAATAATAAAAACGAACTGATAAGATCAATATACTTTTGAAGCTAACCGTAGTAATAGATTGGAAAAGGTAAATAAGACTCCACATGCCAAGTGATGCACAATGGAAAGCTCAGTGACGCCTTTGAAGTGAAGACAGGAGTAAGACAAAGCTGCATACTATCACCGATGTTCTTCCTGATTGTGGTCGACTGGATCATGCAGCAAACTGTGAGGAGCGAGAAGAGAGGCATGAGCTAGTTGACCGATGAAAAGAGCCTAGAAGATTTGGATTTCGCCAGTGATGATGATTTATGTCTAATGTCTTGTAGGACAAACTCGAAGATCTACAGGCGAAAACTAACAAGTTGACAGAAGAGGCAGCGAAAACGGGACTTCAAGTGAATGTAGAGAAGACAGAGGTGATGAAGATACCCGACCAACAACAAAAACAAACACCAATCACCATCAATGGGAGAAATCTAAAGGAAGTTATCTCGTTCACCTACCGAGGCAGCATCGTTTCAACTAAAGGCGGCACAGACGGGATGTCAAAGCCAGGATGGGAAAAGCAAGACAGGCATTCCTTTATTAATCTGAAATCAGTGTGGAGATCTACTGCACTCAGCATAAAAAGCAAGATCCGGATTTTCAACACCATTGTCAGTCAAGTCAGTGCTGCCATATGGTTCAAAAACTTGGCGCGTCACGAAAAGCATTTCCAACAAACTGCAGACATTCATCAACAGCCGCCTACGCTCGATACTTAAGATGGCGATCAGATGGCCGGAAAGAACAAGTAACAAAGAACTCTGGGAACGAACCAACCAAGAACCTATCACCCAACAAATATGCACTGGAAGAAAGTGGAGATGGATTGGGCATGCACTGAGAAGACCATTCGGGGACATCACATGTCAGGCCAGGCTAGGCCAGACCCTCGAGTAGAATCCAAAGGGGAAACGACCAGCTGGGCGTCCGATGAGAGGGTGACATGGAGATCATGTGAGGAAGAAATGAAAGCTTTTGGGCAGTCGTGGTGCCAGGTTTAAAAGACTGCAGAGAACAGAGTGGAATGGAGGCGCTGCTACTGAAACCCTATGTTCCACTAGGAACCCAAGGGTAAAATAGTAAGTGCTTCAACCAATCTAAGTATACGTTACTGATAGTTTCTGCGCAAAACTATAAGAGCTGTTTTAGTATCAATTCTATATTTTTTATCAATGATGTATTCTGTAATGAACGATGATAGATGTCTATCACTTGGTTGTATCGATATTTGCTAATTCAGCTGTTTTTTTTAGCCGTTCGGATTCAGGTTGCGTCACTCCCAAGTGCATATCTCGATTAGTCCTTCATATGTATTTGTTTTAGCATACATGAACACTTGACTAACTTTGATATTTTGTCGTGGATGTTTCATCACTTGGCTTGGTAATATCTTCACGACTAACGTTGTTTTGAAATGAAGCATATTCTAATGTTTAGTTGATATTTTTGCTGGCTCTGTGTGTCATCCAGTCTTAAGTAGAGGAAGACATTTTTATCACACTTTGACCTTGATTTCATTCGGTCATAGTGGTGGAGAATGTTTCTTAGAGTGATTTGTTTGGGTAATTCGCAATCAGATGATGTATGGCTGTTTCTTTCCTAATGAGTTTGTAGATTGCGTCTATAACCACATGTCTGTTGATTGGAATTTCATACTTCTACAAATTCTCTAGCAACTTTTGAACCTACTGTTTGGAGGATTTCCACATTCTTCCAGTTGTTATTATGGTTGGCTGCGTCATGTCATTTTGTATAGTAACAACTTCATAGTCCTGAGGAGTTGTTGAAGATTCTTCACTTGATTTTAGTTCATTCGAAGATGACGTACTATATTAATCACAAAACCTTATATTCATTGATAACCCGAACCTTGGCAGATCAAGTGGTGTTCGAACTCATGATCTTATTGGTTGAGAGTCAATTGCCTAAACAGTGAGCCACAGCATTCGTAGCAAGTTATAATCAATTCCGACTATTTCTTAGTGATTCATTTGTTGTGGTGTCTATGAAATTAGATCCTAATAAGGCTGACAGAGATTGAACGCTATAAGATGTAAGAGATTAGAAAATCAAATCGAAATCCATTCAGCTACCTTCTGCACACTCGTGTAGTAGGCAATCAACCACACCTATTGTGTGAGGGTCAGTGCTACTACCTAGCTTCACAAATCCCTGTAGGTGGAGTGGACTTTGAGCCCGCTACCCACCGATTGAAAGTCAACTCTGTAAAACAATGTGGCACAACTCTACAAGAAGTTATGAGAAATCACCTATAAATCTGAGTTATCACACGTCATTTCAGTTTATCGACAGGGGAAGTCAACAAAATGAAAGACAAGATCAAAAGAAATTAAATGACATAAAATACAGGAAGAAATGAAAGAGGCTGAAACGCAAGTAAAATATCCAATCATAAAGTTTCTCCCATTGATATAAGGATAAGACGTGGATGCATCTGCTTTTATGAAACCTATCCTGTGCAATACCTTTAAAGGTCTCCAAGCATCTTTATCCCCCATATGGATTAGAATAACATTCGAAGACTTCATTTATATTTATGGTGCTAATCCCAGACAGTCAGCGGTAGTTATGATAAATTGGTTGGTTGTGGCTAGCAGAAGAATCTAGGACGTCCGTTCCTTCCTATTTGGGACTCGTCAGCTGGATGTACCTGCTCCCCAGTGATGTTGTTCCCATTTGGACTCGAACCTCGTGCCCATCGCTTTAAACGCCAAGGCGTCATCCACTATGCCACGGAGGAACGATAGCCACTTCTTGTACAACGGGTGGTAGTTATGACTATTTATTGACATACTCGTTATTCTCCGTTGTTTTGTTCGATCAAATTGTTCGACCTCTATTGGCATATGGGCACGCATACAGGACCCAAGTGTGGTTATTCACCTGACCTCTCCTGACCAATCTGGTGAATCCGTAAAATTCACCCTTCGAGTTTCTGGAGATTCGATAGCTAGCTCTCGTGGTCTTGCAGGTGTAGGTATAGCATTAAGCACCAGGGCAGAAAACTCACTACTAGACTGGATCCCAGTTGATAGTCGCCTCTGCGCTATGAGGCTGAACGGCACAGTGAGAACTAAAAGGAATAGTGAGACTCGCCGTTGTCTCTTTGTAATCTCTGCTTACGCACCCACTGACTGTAGTTCGGATGAAGTGAAGGACGAGTTCTACCATAAACTGTCTAACCTCCTCTCGAAAGCCAAACGTTCGGACGTAGTGGTTGTTGCAGGTGACCTCAACGCACAGGTGGGTAGACTGAGTGAGGCAGAAAGGCACTTAGGTGGCACTTTCGGAATCCCAGCTGAACGTACAGATAACGGTGATCGCCTATTACAACTATGCTCAGATAACCGCCTATTTTTAGCCAGCACAAATTTCAGACATAAAGAAAGGCACTGTCTGACCTGGCGTCCACCGAGCTCGACTCAGCGATGGACACAGATAGACCACATTGCTATTAGTCATCGCTGGAGAGGATCGGTGGAAGACTGCCGCTCCTTCTGGAGTACGTGTTTGGACAGCGATCATGCGTTGGTCCGAGCACGTATATGCCTGCGTCTCAATGGACGTAGAAAAAATTTGGCAACAAAACCACTACGAGTTCTGCTGGACAACGAAAACACCAAAGCCGTGTTCAGTGAGAAGTTGGCTAGGCAGTTATCGGAACAAAAGACTGTCACTCATCCAGAAGAAGCTTGGTGCCATCTTCAGTCTACTGTAAAAGCAGCACTGGAGACTGTAGCCGACTCCAAGATAATGGCTAAAAAGAGCCAGTGGATATCAGCAGCTTCTTCCAAACTAATGGATGCACGTGAATGCATCCCTGCAGGCTCTGAGTACAATGAAGAGCGAGCGCAACTTAAAAATAACTGACGAAAAGTCTGCGCAACGATCGTGAACAGTGGTGGGCAGCAAAGGCTAAAGAGATGGAAAAGGCAGCGGCGATCGGTAACAGTAGACAGTTATTTAGACTTATTAAGGAGACTGGGGGGAAATGGTCAACAACAGTTAGTGAGGTTATAGCGGAGAAGGACGGATCGGCGATTCACTCGCAGGGAAGGCGACTGGGACGATGGGCAGAACACTTTGAGGAACAGTTTAACTGGCCTCCAGCCACCATTGCGCTGCCCGCTATCCAGTCGGACCCTGAATGGGACATAGAGACAGGTCCCCCAACACTAGAAGAAGTTGAGAAAGCGGTAGGTAGCCTGAAACGGGGAAGGGCAGCAGGACCAGACGGACTACCTGCTGAGGTATACAAGAATGGTGGTAGAGTTCTCTTAGTCAGGCTAACGGAAGTGTTAGCCAGTATATGGGAATCAAATACGATCCCCTCCGACTGGTCTAAGTCACTGATCATCCCAGTCTTCAAGAAAGGCGAGAAGTCCTCTTGTGATAACCACAGAGGAATCAGCCTGACAAACATAGTGTCTAAGATCCTAAGTTCTATAATTCTCCGACGCCTGAGTGGAGCTCGGGAACAGCAAGCCCGAGAAAACCAGGCAGGCTTTAGACCTGGCCGTGGATGTATCGACCAAATATTCACACTGCGCCAGGTCCTGGAACATAGGCATGCTTACAGACGCCCGACAATAGCTGTATTTCTCGACCTGAAGGCGGCATTTGACTCCGTTGATCGAGAAGTCTTATGGCAGTGTCTGTCACTGAAAGGCGTGCCTAGTAAGTACATCACCTTATTGAAAGCTCTCTACTCGAACACTTGTGGGCATGTTAGAGCCTATGGTGAGTTGTCCAGGGAGCTATACTCATCAAGTGGTGTCCGTCAAGGATGCCCACTATCCCCATTCTTATTTAATTTTATCATAGATATTCTTATGGAGGTTTCCCTCTCGTCACCTAATTACAAAGACGTTGACCGGATCACAGGTGAATTTTCCTTAGATCTAGAATATGCAGATGACATAGTCCTGTTAGGTGAAGACGCTGACAAGATGCAGAGTCTTCTGAACACTTTGAGTGGGAATTTGAGAATGTTTGGGATGCGATTTTCACCACCCAAATGCAAATTTTTGCTCCAGGACTGGTCTTCAGCGGTACCGCGGTTAACAATAGAGAGTGAAGTGGTTGAGTGTGTTGACCACTTCACTTACCTGGGAAGTAGGATCAACCCGGTGGGTTAGTTGCCGATGAGATTTCTGCACGGATACAAAAGGCTCGATTGGCTTTTGCCAATTTGCGCCACCTATGGCGCCGCCGTGATATTCGTTTGTCTATTAAGGGTCGCGTGTACTGCACAGCAGTCCGCTCTGTTCTACTGTATGGCTGTGAAACATGGCCATTGAAAGTGGAAGATACAAAAAGGTTCAGGTGTTTGACCACCGTTGCCTTCGTAGTATAGGACGTATTCCGTGGTGTCACCATGTGAGTAATGCAGAAGTTAGGTGTAGAGTTTTGGGGAGAAGAGGTAAGTCAGTCGACGAGGTTGTGAACCTTCATCGACTGAGATGGTTGGGACACGTACTACGTATGCCTCGTCACACAATGTTGGCTGAGGTGGGTTCAGGCTGGAAAAAGGCCCGAGGTGGCCAGACTAAAACATGGCACCAATGTATGAAGTCTCTGACTGTTGGTTTAAGCCATGTAGGACGATGCAGACTAGGTGGTTGGGGTCCACGGGACAAGAGGAACCAGTGGTTGGAGACCCTAGGTGATATGGCTCAGAACCGAAGTCAGTGGCGCAGATGTATACACACATTATCCTCATCTTAACAACGCTATACCGAATCTCACTATTTTGTCACTCCTCTTTCCTTTCTTCTCATACTTTATATTTCTTTTGACTGCATTCACTTATCTTCATCCTTCACCTCACTACCTTTTTACTTGATGTGCTGATATGAGGTGTGGCAACTCGGACCGTTACGCAGTAATGCCTGGTCCTATGTTGATAATGATGATGATGATGGCATATGGGCTGGTACGCGGATACTTCGATATTGCCTGAATGTTAATTATGATAAACTGGTTGGTTGTGGCTAGCAGAAGAATCCAGTGGTAGCTTTTCTTTCTGGATACTTTGTCGGTATATTCCTCAGTTTGTATCTCGTCTCTACCTATCGACTGTCGGAGTTGTTTGTTACACACACACACGAACTGCTGAGGAATATCAATCTCTCTCTTAGCTTAAGTAAGGCTATATTGTATGTACATAGAACAGTCTGTCTTATCTTTGACCTGTGGATACTTTGTCGCAGAGTTGATGTCATTTGTCGCATACTGATAACAAATTGTTTTACTATGGTTTAGCCGTAGTTTTCTTTTATCAAAAAAGAAACAGTAGTTTCTAGCAGATTTTGAAAGCAGAAAATTGTTAAACAGTAGTTGTTTAACACGTGCTATTGTCATTTAGTCGACCAGTGTGATATCTCTATTTTTTAAACTCAAGATAGGAGTTTCCTTATATTATTTCGTGAAATCGACATGCATACTAAGTGACTGACATTCTGAACGTTGCCAAGGAGTTGCACAAAGCCGTACACAATGTTTTGTCGTTTATTGACATTGCGTACATTGATTGATTTAATTGACAGTTTGATACTTTATCTGCAAACAGTATGCATAATTGTGATAGGTTTCTAGCTCTCAGTTCTTAAGTGACCAGAAGGAAAATACCACGGACTTTACTTTGAAATGGTTTTTTGGGTGAGGGAGGAGGTCATTCGCTGATGTTAAGTGTGATACGCTTCACATGTAGAAAAAAGGTGATTGCATGTCACGAATATTGTTATTTTCATAAGTAACCTTCGAAACATCGGTCATTGTAACACAAAGCTCTGTAACAACGCTGATAAAGTACTTAACTACTGTCGCTACTATAGCGTTCTTGCTAGTCATGGGGTAGTCACAAATCAAACAGGACAAGAGAATTGCTTCATGAGGCTCTTTGGTGTGCAGGTAATTAGTCAAAAGATCAGAACCAGTAGTGTTAGCATACACTGTTATAGTCTGTTTATGAACAGATTTCTACTGGAGGACAGATTAAAACGATTTATACATTGTAGTGTGTAAGTTTTATACCAGAAATTGATTTTTGATTGAACGTACAGCGAAAATCAAGACGATACACGTAAGTGGTGTTTTCCTAACACCTTTGTTGACGCAATCAAATGCTGTTTTCAGGTGACGAAGCATACACGATTAGTGTTAGACATGGTGTTTGTTGAAAATACGTGCTACTCCAATTGAAGCCTACCCGGTTTTTTGGGATTGGTTGTGTTTCCAAGCAGTGATTAGACATCGAGTTTTCATGCATTCCAAGATCTTAGAAACAATATTCATCAAGCAATTACTTCTTTCACCATCATAAAACATTGGTTCCTTTTCTTGGACACTAGGGCAACCAGTCATTGTAACGATATAAAAGGAACCATATTTGATTCACCCACCTAAGTCTGTACTTCGTCATTCAGTCTAACGAATAATCTTAGGTAATCATCTACGGATACTTCCGACAGTATGTCAACAGGATCTTATTGTTCTAAGTTACATAACTTTTTCGACCTTAGAGACCATTGAAGGCACTTCTTCAACCTTTTATTTAACCTGCGATTGCACAGGTAAGCAAGTGAATCGTAGCTGGAGATCAGTTGAAGTATTGCTTTATAGTACTCTCTTTATCATTCCATTTGCCTTCCTTTTGAGTGGATAACTAACCTACTTTTCAGGCTATCATCTTATTAAACGTCTATCTAGTTGAAATAATCATCATTCATTTCTTTGATGATGATGATATACATTTACAATTAGGCAACTATTATCTTGTTTGTGTGTATATTTAGGTGCTAGGAGCTATAGAACATGTATTCATAAGCTTTCGTCACTTTGTGTGACAGAAAAATAAGACAATCGATTCTCCTTCACTCTATTACATATTGATATCCTCATCGTATCATCTACTCCAGTTTGAACTTTTGTGATACCAAAAGTGGTATAGGAATGTTGAAAGGTTAAAATTTGGGCACTATGGTAGAGTATAATTCCATATTAATTCAATTTAGTGGTTTTTTGATTTCAAGTTGGTATTCATCACAGACTGACATCATTTGGAGAAGCATTTAAAATTTAGGAATAACTAAATGGCTGTTCCATCCAAGTATATGACCTTTCAGCAATATGCACCCAGCCAGGTAGGTGTCGAATCCGTAACCTTCAGGTCCTGTGGCGAGGACGTTAATCATTGAACTACTGGGTTTGAATTCAATGGTGTACATTTCCCTACTTCTGCCAACTCGTGACCTTCATCTAATACCTATCCTCACTTGCGACTAACTTCACCCACTGGTTATGATGTCTGATTATAACTTTTGGGTCATGGATATGTACTCCTAAGGATAGCGTACTAGGACTCAACAGAGCTGTCAAGTGCTCTCAGGTTTTCAATATTTCTCCAAATGATGTCGGTATCTGATAAATACCAACTTGATATTCTATTTTACATGAGTTTATTTAACATAACAAGTATAGACGCCTACTGAAGCTGGTGTGCTTCAAGGTGCTGCACTTTCTCCTTTACTATTTTCGTTCTTTTTGCATGATTTACCTTATTCTGTTAAAACTAATTTTATTAAGTATGCTGATGACCTGACGGTGTCTATTCCAGTTAACTCTCATTTAGATTGCTCTGAATTAAATGATTTCTCGTCTCCCATCGACCAATGGTCTCAAGTTAAACTCTTCTAAATGTCAGATTGTTAATTTTAACCTCAAGCGTTAGCCAGACTTGTGTGAACTGTCTCATGACGCCTGTTGCAGCATTGATGGTATTTCTGCAGAAAGTAAATCGAGTGTTAACTATCTTGGATTGAGTTTTACTTCTGACCTTTGTTGGTCGTCCCATATTTTGTTGACTTGTAAAAGTATCTTTCGCCTAACTTGTTACATAAAAAACTGAAGCCCTCTGGTATAACTCAACTTCTACTTCTGAAATTTATTAATTCCTGCATTTTACCTATTCTTCTCTATTGTTCCCCATTGATCTGTTGCGTAGGGCTTTGAAAGTCGTCATTAGGGTGAGTGGTGTGCCTCTGGTTCAACTAATTAAACACTGTGGTTGATAGACATTTAAATCCTAGTAAGCAGGTAGTTACAGTAATTTTAACTGACACTGAGCATCCACTTCATTCACAGCTCTCCTTGAATATTCTGAGGGAAGACAGGAAGAAACTACAAAAGACTGTACGCTCGTAATGCTAAATACGAGAATTCGACTGTACCTTACCTACTATGTGAGGAAAAGAGAATTAGAACAGATATCACACATGAAATTAGTAACAGTTAGAAATCTCATGTCAATTATTTAACTAACAACGTAAAATTTTCTCTTTTAATATTCTTTACATCACTTAAATTTTACTGGATGAGGTGTCGAGCACAATCTATTACTCATAATCAATCACATCACGGTGATCATACAATTTAAAAACTTTTTCACTATTGATAGTAGCATTTTCCAAATATATTTCATGTGTAGTGAACCATTTCTGCTGTATGTGCTGTTAGTAACTGGACATGTATGCCGTTACTGATGCAATGCACTAATTATTACTACTTCTTATATTCTCTTTATTTGAACAAAAGAAGTTTTAAACTTCTGTTAACCTTTTATTTCTTCCGCTTAGCTATTTCACACACGTTAACTCAAAGTAAACCGAAAGAATGCAGCACTAAACCACTGAATGATCGTACTCGAGCTACAAAATCTAAGCTTATCCTTTTGAGAGCTAAAATGGAAGCTTTGCCCGGTGGTAAACATGCAAGAAACTTGCCAGAATCAGAACGATTTGTTTTACGCCTCTCAATTATGCCAGATATTGTTCCCAATAATTCTATAATCTCAGCGTATTTCGGAAAGGTGATGATTATATGCCTTATTTTTCTTTGTTTTTCTCGTTTTTTCGAATAACCTTTGTTGATTTGGTTTGACTTGTATGCTCAGATTAGTATTTATTGATTGAATACTATAATACAGCGTTTGTTTTCACCTGGAGGCTAAAGAAAACCACTACATCGGCTAGGCTAGAACTTCCTCTAATTGGACAGTTTTTGTTCACTAAACGGTATTCACTGGGTTTGAATGTCTAGAGAAACCACTGAATTACAGGTATGATTGTTTTTTCCCCCAGCTAGATCTTAGTAGATATATCACTTGATGCCGTTTGTGAGTATCATTACTAATTTAAATCCAGCACGTGTAGTTTGCAAACACAGTCAATATCTATGTGTTATATAGATATAATTCTGAATCAGTTAACTTAAACGGAACTTAATGTAGAGAAAATAACTGAGACAATCTTCACGCAGAGAGAAAATTCAAACTTGGAAAATACTCAGTAAATACAATTAATTCGTAGGAAAATGTGTCTCCTTACAAAAAGGTAATGCACTATTTTTAGAGTCTATCTAGGACTGGAATTGTTTTCTTGAAGTCGATTTCATCATCTTGCAAGTAGGGTTTGTTGGAAACTGTGGTAGTAACGATGGGGTAACTGATGACTGGGTACGCGTAACAACTGTACGAACCACCTGAGTATATGAAGTTGTGCAACCTCGTCAACTTTCTTCTGACCTATAACTGCGCCGAAACTCCGTTTTGCTAACGTCGTAGTCCCACGATATACGATCTGTACGACGAAAGCAACCTGTCCATGTGTCAAAACCAACTGTACCGTCATACGCAACGTGACTTCACTAAGCAGCACTAAACCTTAACTAAAACAAGTTACTCTAGATAACAGTACTTCAGCCACAATTTCGAACTTAGTCTCTATTGTAACCAAATAAATTCTGCTTCACATTACCGTGACTGTTTCGAGAATGCATTTATTTTCTGAAAGACGATATAATCGTTACTGAACATAATGCAGTGAGGTTAAGAAAGCAGATTAACTACATCTTGCTACTAAGAGCATATCGTTAGTAACTGGCACTTCAGACAAATTGAGCAGATAGGCAGTAGTGATTAAATACACAAAAGTTAGTTGAAATTTTACTTATTTCACAGTCGTGAAGTTATCAAAGCTTGTATCTATTTATTTTTTTCTTCCTCTGCATTTACTTTTTTCCTTACACTTTCTTGTTTACAGCGTTGGCCACTTGGTTGTGTGCTAGATTATGGTTGTGAACAGTTCCATTTACCTCGAGATAAAGTAAGCTGCCTGTTTAAAGCAGTCAATTCAAAGTGAATTTTTTTCTTCTCCGAATCATATTTGTGAAGTTGTATTGAGGCGGGAAAATAGTAAACTTCAAATGTTTCGCGTTGTCATCGAAGCTGCTTCTTCAGTGAATACAATCTGTACAAATCATCTCATGTTTATATAGGTATCAAAATGCATTAAACTATACAGTTCCCATATGTAAACTCATCGCAGTCAAAGTTCGCCCAACCACCTTGCTCACATTCGTACATTAGGTAGTGAGCCACATTTATTGTGTGAAGGCTAATGATACCTAGTTGCCCAATTCTCGGTAGGCGGTGCAATGTTCAAACGCGTGATCCATCGGTTAGAAGTTAAGTTGTTAAGCCAATAAGTGTAAACTCCATGTACGCTAAATATAAACTCAGTCCTTCGTCCAAATAGGATCATTATTACTGTCGGCATCAATATCTTACGTGAAGCAACTAAATAACTTTGCATTGGTTAACCAGTTGATAAATGAAATATATTCCTACGGTCTCAGAGAATTACAAAAGTGAATTTCTGACGCAAATAATATGATTACATGTTATTGCCATCAGTTATTAGTCAGGTGCCTATTACATTAAGAAATCATCCCGAAAGATCCTTATTTACGTTAAAGAATGTACACAAGTGAGTCATAGGAATCTCTCAGTACCTTGACCCGATGAAGTAGTTTGTGATAGTTTCGTTTGATTGTTGTTATTCTTCATAAAGGACAATTAAAATGCAAGAGACACCTCGAAACGAGGAATTCATTGCTGATTCAGAGTCATCGCTCAAAACAGGATTAAATGAGGAAACTTAACGAGAACGGAAAACAATCGTATCACTGAACAGACAAAAAAGATCACACTCACCCAACCACTCACGAACAGAAAGCATTAAAAAGATTGCGAAATAAGACAGACATTGTTATGCTCCCAACAGACAAAGGGTGAAGCATTGTAGTCATGGATAAGAAAAACTGCATCCGGAAGGCCGAAAATTTACTCAAAGATAAGAATGTGTATCAACCACTTGTAACTAACACTATCCAAAAGTTTGACGACAAGATCACTAAAGCCTTGAGCAAGCAAGTCGAAGTAGGAGAAATAAGAATACAAGACAAAAGGCGGATTAAATCGAATGGACCTGGTTTTTTCGGTTTTACTGCATATCAAAACTACACAGACCAAATATTCCTCTGTAGTCAGTAGTCTCACTTCGGGGCACTCCAGTCTGCGATCTATTCAGAGAGCTTTCAAGGGAATTAAAGTACTTTATGGAGTCATGCGAACATCCCATCAAATCGCCGAATTCCTGAGAAGGATCAAATGCATTAACACAGAGGACTATGAATTAATGGTGTCCTTTAGGGTAACAGCATTTTGCACATCATTTGAACCACAATTGGCCAAGGATATTGTGTTTCTCCTCATCAAAGACATATGGCCTTTGAAACGCACAAAACTTCGGTTTTCAAGTCTTATGGAACTTATTGATCTTTGTCTGATAACACACTTCCAATTTAATAGCAAGATATGCCTATCAGAAGATGAAAAGAACTCAAATGGAGTCATGGATATTGGCATTAATTATAGCAACAGTAATCCAGAGGATGAAAACCATCGTTTTAGCTGTGATGCAATCGAAAATATATATCGGCTACGTGAACGATACTTTCGCTATCACTAAAAAGGATGAATTAGAAAACACCCAGTATGATCAACGACATCAAGTTCACAATCAAGAAAGAATCAAGGAACAAACTGCCATCCCTGGATGTCTTAGTCCGTAGAACTTACGCCAGAAAATGGGAGTCTTCAGTGTGCAACTAACACACACTGATGTGATCCTCAATCGCAACTCAGCAATACGAAAAAACTAGTTGCTCATAGACTTGATTGAAAAGAGCGAGAACTCATTGCTGTTCGGTACCTTCACGGAAAAAAAAGAAATTATTTGATGTCTGTCCTGAAGAAGGAAAAGAATTCATCAGAAGATGCCAAACCAGTTAATCACCAATTAGAAAGTCATCCAAAGAAATCAGCAAACAGATCATTCTACCATGCACATAGAACACATCAGAGATCACGACACTATTGCAATTTTTGCTGTTGTTATTATTATTAGAACACACATGGCACAGTAAAAATGCACCACATGAAACAATATGACACTATTTTGAAGACAATCCTCCGTAACTGTCCAAGTTGCCACAATTCATATCAACACATCATGTAACTAAGTAATAAAATGCTAAGTGAATAAAGCAGTAGAAAGTAGCAAAAGAGAGAAATGAGAAACTGCTGAATTCAGTAAAGACAAAGATAATATATGGATACATCTACGCCATCGGTATCGATTCCGAGCCATATCATATAGAGTCTCCAACCAATGGTTTCTGTTGCTATACGAACCCCAACCGGCTAGTCTGCATCTCACAACATGGCTCAGGTCGAAGACTTCATGTAGTGATACCATGTTTTAGTGTGTCCCCCCTAGCCTTTTTCCAGCCTGAACCCACTTCGGCTGAGATTAGGCCAGAAGGTAAACGATGACCAGACATGCGAAACACATATCCAAACCAACTTAGTCGGTGAAAGTTCCCAATCTTATCAATTGACCTTTCTCTCCTTCCTAAAACTCTACATCTGACTTCTGGGTTACTGGCTTGTTGATACCATGACATATGGCCTGTGCTACGAATGTCACTGTAGTCGAACACCTGAAGCCTTCTTATGTTCTCTACCTTTAATGGTCATGTTTCACAGTCATACATTAGGAGAAAACAAACTGCAGTGCAGTACACTCATCTACATATATATGCTATTTCTTATTTCAGAATTATGGTTTAATTCGTTTATCGGATGAGTTGGATGCAGATTATCAAGTTGGTCGATATGAAAATGATACTGTTGCCAATTCACTACTTGATTTAAGTTGTACAATTAAACAGCATGTTCATGAAAATTGTTTCATTGAAGGCGAATTATTGCAAGTTGTTTATATACCTCAAATGTCATCATAGTTGTTATTATTATTGAACTGTCTTTTGTAGTATATATATGCGCATGTGTGCATAGACACAGTGAAGTGCATGTAATGACGTGATGGTATGTGTATTGCATATGGTGTACACATTGTAAACCACCCTAAAGTTTCTTTTGATTTTGTTTCTCTCTATATTTTTCATTTTATCTTAATATAAATGATATATATTAGTTTCAACATTTCTTATTCGTGAAAAAAATATATAAATTTGTACAAAGTTTGATTAAGATTTGTTGTTATTCGCCAACTTTCCTGTCTTCAGTCATTCATTGTTTCATAGTTCTATCGTGTTTAGTTTATCAGATGGAGACGAAAACATGTGTATGTGGGATATGTTTTATGTTGCAATAATGCGGTGGATAATGGTCTAGTCAGCACTAGTCTTTAAAGTAATTTATATATATATATATATATATATATATATATATATATATATATATCACTTCGGGGGTTATCTGTAACTTGTTAACTTGATTCGAGACTCACTTCCTAAATGTTGATATACTAATATTATGACTTGTGTTATTCCCCGTTTTTGATTCTTTCGCGAATATTGTAGGGAAATTTACTTTGGTAGAATCAGTGAATAGTGTTTAACACGAAATACGTTTCGTCATCATTTCTAATATAATGGGAATTCTGACAATGTCGAGGTATTCTCACCAACGGGTTAAATGTTGGCAGTGATCGATCAATTCAATCGAAGTAAATCGCCTATGAGAAACTAGTTACACCATCAAATCGCTTATTTCTCAAGGAGTTATTTTCTTCTCAGTGTATGCCAAATCCAATCCATCTCCACTTTCTTCTTTATATTTGTTGGGCGATAGATTCTTGGTTGGTTGGTTCGTTGATTCGTTGACAGCAAGAGTTCCTTGTTGCTTATTCTTATTATTCTGGCCATCTGATCTTCAGTACCGGGCTTAAGCGGCTAGCTGTTCATATGTGCCTGTAGTTTGTTGGAAATGCTTACCGTAAAACCCCAAGTCTCTGAACCATCATATAGAAGCACTGAGTTGACTGACACTAGTGTTGAAAATCCGCATCTTGTTCACGCTTTATGCAGAGTGCACTGATTTCACATTCATAAAGGAAGGCCTATCTTGTCGTCTTTCTGATCCTGGCTGGCTTTGATATCCTCATCTGTGCCGCCGCCGCCGCCTGTAATTGAGACGATGCTGCTTAGGTAGGTAGGCAAAAGAGACAAATGTATTTCATTTAAGTTCTCATATTCTTTTTGAATTCATTTATGTTTGTATAATAACGAATAAGAGAATATTTAGTATTAAAATTTGTGGGAAATTCACTTTCAACAAATTGTCAGGCAATATGATTTACTATATGATGTAATGGTTGAAAGTTTAATAAAAATCAATATCATTGTGGGACTTGAACCATCAGCCTTCAGGTGGAGTGACCCGACATTCTAACAACTGAAGTACAAAACCCGACCACTAAACAGGCCGTAATTTCTCTTTATTCGGCATGGGTCTTTTTGTTGTCAGCTATATGGATTCGTGGTCTGTGACTATGCATTCCATGTCACCACAGTAGCTACTCGGACATATCTCACTCATCAAGCTGAATCAGATAGGCGAAGGGACGGGTTGATTACTGATTAAAAATATTTAAGCTCACCTTGGTTTGGTAGCAACTCATTTGGTATGGGGCCGTGCAGTGTGCGAAGGCTCCAGCTTTAAATGCTGCCGCCACCTGGGTTTTAATTTCACCTTCAATTATCATTGCGCATCATAGATATCAGTACGCGTATGTCAGATATTCTGACAAGTAATACAATATAATTTCATCAGTGGCAAACATGAAGAAATATTAACGGTAGACATAAAATCATGTTTAATGAATCTATATACACCTCAGCTATATGACTGTATAGCGGCAATTGAAAAGGTCAGATATACGCGTATCTCAGTAAGATAAATTACGCTTATAAAATCACATTTGTTTTCCTTATCCCTTGTTTATTTTCTTATTCATTTGTGTTGCATAACTTCTCATTATTCAAGTATAATTTGACCCCTAGCCCGAGATGATTCTGGAATGGAAATGGGTGTATTGCACTCCTTAACGAGTAGCAAGGACTGGATGACGGTAAATAAACCACAATTTTCTACGGTGTTACGTCGAACTTACCGAGGTAAATGCTGAGACTTACTTCTTTGAGAAATTGCTAGAGAAACGAATATCTTCAAGTGTCTTAGAAGAATGTTAGATGAAACTATGTTTCTCCTTACTTGCGTACCTTGAAGTGATATTCTTTGTAATACTGACGCTGTCCGTTACCGATTACTAGAACTTGAACAGAATCTGTCACAAAAACCCACTTTCTTTTCGAATTTCACGCTGATGAAAGAGCAGAATTCGAAAACTACGTTGCTAGTGTTACTAAGACGCGAACTGATTGTGTCCACCTGAGACTGAATGAACGCTTATAGTCTATAACAAAGGAAACAGCCTTTATTTCATCTCTCGAAAAATATGTGTTCAACCATTCAAATATATGACTGTCTTCAATTCAAATCCAAATTGTGACTTGAAAAGTCGATGAGCTCAATACAAAAGTCTCGTTCAAAAATCTAATTCGTCAAACATCAGATTAAATCTGATGTTTCAACCTATTTCAAACCAATGGTTTCTAACTGTTGTGTTCACTGTGTAAATAATAAATCCAACTGTCGACATTTTTCTGTAAAAGAATATCGAATAAAATGAGGAAAATCGAAAATTTGGTCATGCTGTGGCAGGACAAAGACTCTCTAAACAGATCAAAATGTATAGATAAACTCCCTCATTCCATGCGACAAAGAGAAATTCTACAAATAGACAACATATAAAGATCCCACTAAACAGATAGCTTCAGTTATCAAAGACACTGAAGAAAATGAAAGATGAATTCTTCATAAGCACGAAACTCTATGAATAACTTCATCCATTGGGTTCTACGACCTTTCATTCATGCAGTTTTTTGAAAAATATCCAGAAAGTATTCTTCTCAGTTCAATACCAGACTTGATAAAGTCTACATATCATTCAGTTGTGAAAGGCTTATAGAAATACTTGAACAATTAGAGCAGAAGCTGTTGAACCATGATCACCGTGACGAATACGATTTTGTTGATTCAGCTAATGATGCCAATTTGATAGGTGAAAGAATAGTTTCATTGGATCTCGTATTTCTCTTCACAAATGTCTTACTGAGAGAAACCATTGCTTCTTATGCGATTTCATTCAATCCCATAACATAGATCTTGATATTCCAAATGAATACTACGCTTTTGAAGCTTCTGCTGCAATGTACTTTCAATACATACTTCAGCGTCGAACCAAATTTATAATCATGACGTAATTCATCACAGTCGAAAATTTAAGCTATTGTTACGTACTCTTCTGCAAGATTTCATGACTTGATTGGTTCTAGTAACCAGTTAAACCTTGACCTAGGTTTTGTACTTTTTGTAGATTATCTGCAAGACATATCTGGAACCTTCAGAAAAACATTGTCGTGTTCTTTTTGGCTGAGTGACTACATCACTTTATCGATGGGCTTAGATCAGCACTAAGGATTTTGGCAGTCACATTTAGATACCGTCCGATGACAAATCCCTGTACGTAATCAAGTCCTACAGAGTGTCAGTGGTTACTTGAACAGTTTAATGGCTATGTCTCTGAGTCACACATGAGTTTTGCCAAGGTAACTAATGTATTCTGTAGTGAGTACACGAGTAAACACGAAACTGAGATTAAACAAGGTTTCCCAACGGTCGATAACTTGTACAATGACATCTGATGTTCAGTGATTTTGAAACTTCGCACATATGTTATATAACATGACAGTGTAAATTTTGTCATCAGATAATCAATTCCACTATATTCTCTATTGTTTCACATGAACTAGGTACTGGTGTTTTGTTTGTTAAAAGTAACACTATTGTTTATGAAATGAAAACAGCCTTTTTAATATGAAGCCACATTTAACTGGTCAAGGTCAAATATTTGTGTTTAACCAGTGATTTTATTGTTATTTAACAGTCAATAAAAACGTTTTATTCCAAGTATTAAGTCAAATTCATAGCCAGGTACTTTTAAAATGGTTAAATATTTTCATCAAGGCAGAATTAACAATGAAGTAATATAACCCCGTGAGTGCTGATAGTCCTGATGAATATTGATCTTAAGGGGGACACTTCAGCAGGCATCCGGAAGAGCTAACCATTAAGATCGTTAGTAAATAATTTTCATGAGTTGCGAATCATCTTTTCCAGCAATAAGTCCACTTGTATGTAAAGAACAAGATTATCCTCTGAGTTACCCTACTTGATATGTCAGGCTGGTTATATAAGTCATACAAACAAGTATTTCCTAGGCGCATTTTTTATCACTAGGCTGTAAACGTATCGAAGGGAATGTAGATCAACCGGTAGTGTAATATTTAATCTATCCTGTGAATTCTCTGCTAGAGTGAGTTGAAATGTTTCTAAAAGGATATCCTTTTTTAATTGTTTATCTAAGAGGTACTAACTATTCATTGAATCAAGCCTATCAAAGAAGTTTTTCCTGTCATCTTGCCATCATCTTTATCCCTTCCCTCAACTTTTCTGAGATAGCCGTAGTTTGGCAGACTTACATTGATGCTGGGTGATGATTGAAGATGAAGTGAAAACTTTGGTCTAGTGATCGCTGGTTCAATTCTTGCCCTGACCCAGATCTTCTAATTTCATTATTAAAACCTGCTGTCATATTGTCATCTTCATTATGAGCTTCGTCACTTAATTCATCTTTAAATTTGTCAGATGGATAATCGATCATTTTACTGCATATCTACAAAACGTTTGCACTGTATCCAATTTCTTCCTCATCATCACTATCTGCTGACTACGTAGTTTACTTCTAAAAAGAGAAACAGTTTTTTCTTCATCACCACATTGTGGATACTTCCCCCCCCTCCTCTTATGAGTAACCTGTCTGCAAGAAAATATTCTCCATTGTGTAATGCCATTGGTAGATATCATTGAATTCCACGATAATGAATAAAAATCGGGCATCCATCACGACCAATCATCAATAGTGAACTTCGTAAATGCGAACGATATTCTTTCCAAGTATC